CCTAAATATTATAATTTCCATATATAACCAATATAAGAATTTTAACAAGATATTTTATAGTCTTTTCCCTGTATAACGTCCTTGAAATCTAATGTATATTTTACACAGACAGCACAATTCTCACTAACCACATTTCAAGTACACAGCAGTCACCTGAGGCCACTGGCTACCACACTGGACCTGAGAATTTGGGACAACAGCTTCTACCTGTTCTTAATTCCTTCTAATGTGTTCCTTTGGTTATTTCATGCCTTTAAAATCTTAAATTGATGAGTATTTTAATTATAAAGGTCTGGCTAACTTATTACTTAGCATTACTCAGATCTGTTGGATGGACATTGCTCATTCTACTTTCTCTTTACATTAACATTTATTTTGAAATGCTTTAATTCAAATACACACTCACACATGTGTAAGCTGGTCAGCTCTGGTTCAGGATGTTTACCTGAAAAAGCAGAAAGTTGGAAATCTTTATATCCTTTAATTAACTGGATAAATTCTATTAACCTTAGAAAAGGTGTGAAGCTTAACTACTTTTTCTTTCTCTTAAACTGATGACCTAAATTTGATTTAGTCATATAAGTAATTTTATAAACTTCACACCTTACACTTTACATTGGTTCAAAGAAAATAACTTTGTTTTTTAATTTTAAAATCAACACATAAGCAGAATTAAATTAAATTTTATGGTAAAAAAATGCTGATTAACCAGAATATTTAGGGAATAAGATTTTTTTAAAAATTGAATTCTAAAGTGATTGCTTGTTTCTTATTGTGAAAAAAACTTTCTAAAATATACTAGGTAGATTTTAATTTACATAAGAAAAGTCTACTGACTATAATAGAATCTTCTTTGATGATTTCAGAAGTTGCACAGCCTCAGTGTTATTAATCTGAATAATAGCCATCCATGTAAGAGACATAAAGGAAAGAAAATCCAATTATTTAAGGGTGTAGTTTAGCTGAGGTCTGGCCAGAATTCCCTATGGCCTGCCAAATAAGGACAATTATTATTTTATAGAGTAAGTGAGGGTGTACCCGATACGAATGCTTCTGGCAGAATATAAATGGCCTTACCAAAGTGACTTAACCAAACATGAATTTGTTTTCCTCTGGAGGTCAGAATTCCCAAACAGGTACAGTGCCTCTACAACCCCATTAGGGAGCCCTCCCCTTCTAAATCACCATTCTTAACAGACCTTCAGTGGTCTTATGATGGTTCCTACAAAAGGAAGCGGGCCATCCATGTTCCAGGCAAGGAGACAGGAGAAAAGGCCAAAAGGCGAAAGATAAAGCCAACCAAATCTGTCCATTTTAAGGACTTTTCCAGGAACTTGCCGGAAAGAACTTTCACCTTAGTCTCATTCACCAGGACAATGTAATCTGACCACCACAGGACCAAGAGAGGCTGGGAGGCAAGCATTTCAACCGGAAGCTTTGCCATCCTAAAGCCTCGTTAAGAAAGAAAAATGAAAGAATGGATTTGGTGAGGCAACCAGTGGTTGTGCACAGGGAGTTATACCACAATTGTGAGAAACAGGAGTTGGCTCCTGAATCCCTATATCTTATGGGAAGTGAGATGCTGATAGAATCAGTACAAGAGAATGCAATTGGTGTCAACAAGTAACAATGTCACCTCCCCACACACCACCTCAAATCACACATGCCTCTTCATCTCTTGCTCTTCAGTCAAGGTTGAAAATTCCTTTACGGACATTTCCAAGGGTACAATTCCCTACTGTCTTTTCCTCCTCCATTTCCCCTGAGCTTGACTCTAACTAGCTGAAGCACAGATCTCAAAGGATAAGGACAATGACTCTCCCCATGCCAGCCATTTCAGCTGACAGGGTAGACCACTGGACGTGCTGAGGCTCTTGATAACCCTAAAACAGAGACTGTAATAAATTGGAAGAAAGTCTCACTGTTGCGCTGCTCAAACATGGCTCCTTTAACTGAACTGGGGTCTCACACAGCAACATACCCTGGATTCCCGCTCTCTGCCTCTGCACTTAACCCAGGCCACTTCCCACCTGTCCACACCCACTGCCCCTGGCATTGGGCTTTCCTGTTTCCTCCACGATCCAAACACGGCTCCACACCTGGACATCCATTGTCCATGTGGTCATCTTCTACCTGCCTCTCCTGACTCAATTCTGAACTTGATTTTCAAACTCAAGTTTTGATTCCAATATCCGTCCAGTCTTTGAAACATTCTCCCTCAAGCCTCAGACACCCTGACCTCGGCCTTGTGCCTTGTTCCTGGTGTCCTCTCAGCAGGCGTCATCCCGCCTATCAGAGAGAAGATCAGGTACCCCTAACTTTCTACACAGCGTGCTGCCCTGGGGGATCAGCCACTCGAAAGAGAGAGAGTAGCTGCCCTGATTCTGGCTGTGGACACTGGTGAAGGGCCAGTGGGAGGGAGGATTTAAATTCACCACCTCATGCTGCTGTTTTCTTGCATAGCCTCCACGTGTACTCACTGAGGAAATGTGTGTGCCTCTGGCAGATTTTAAGAAAGAATTTCAGCACAGGTCAGCTCTCTCCCTCCTTCCAACCCTTTGGAGCAGAGAGTGCCAGAAGAGAGAAGAGTCAGGGCAGACAGAGGAAGAGGGATCAACATCGTCCGTGTAAGATCTTCTGCACCAAAAAACAGGTTTTAGGTGGGAAAGCCCTCTCTGCTGTTCTTTGACCACTATGTTGTTCCCGGCATAACTGTGTCTGTGGCTTCGGTGAGTACAGGCAGCAGTCAAGGCGTAATTTAAGGTTGTAGTTTTATCTGGACCTCACTCAAACACTACTCTCCCAGCCCTGCTCCTCGCTCTGAGTACTTTCTCCTTTGGCTTCAGACTTTGGCTTTCTCACTCCTTCCTCTTCTTGGGTTGCATCAGGCTGTACTCCAGGCCAGGCATAGACCTCGGGCCCCATTGGGAAGATGATTCCTGTCATTAATGGGACTTCACAAATACAGGCAAGCATGTTCCATCCCTCATCCTGGGGCGGAGGGGCGGGGGAGGGGCTCCTGCCCTAGCTGCGTCCACAGCACCTCCAATTCCATGGCCACAGACAAGAAACAATGCACCCGATGCCCAGACTCCTCAGGAAACCACACTGGCTGGGATGCTTCTCCAAGAGGGCACTGAGCAACTTCCAGAGCCACCAAAGTTCCAGAATGTGAGCTGGTAAGTCAGGCTGACTGGGTTCACACCCAATTGCTACTTGGAGCTTGAGTAAGCCATTTAACCTCCCTAGGAACTCATTACCTCATTTGTAACATAGGGTGAATGATAGCATATATATAATGAGAAGGTTAAACAAAGTAAAATCTTGTTTAATAAGGTTAAATAATCCATACTATGTGCTCACAACAATGCATGGAGCACAGTATGTGTTAATGGAGATGATGATGATGATGATGATGAAAATGATGATGATGATGATGATGATGGTGGTGGTGGTATGGTGGCAACGATAAAGCTATATCTCTCAAAAAGTCTTTGGAGCCAAGCAGGTGTGGCTCAGTGGTTGAGCATCAACCTATGAACCAGGGAGGTCATGGTTCAATTCCCGGTCAGGGCACATGCCCAGGTTTGTGGCCTTGATCCCCAGTGGGAGGCATGCAAGAGGCAGTTGATTGATGATTCTCTCCCATCATTGATGTTTCTCTCTCTCCCTCTCCCTTCCTCTCTGAAATCAATAAAAATATTTTTAATTTAAAAAAAAAGTCTTTGGAATTCCCGACTTCCTTGCACAATGAGTCCCCTAGAGCCATGCCCCATCACCTTTCCTGTGTCTCAGAAAATGAGATGGCCTGTATCCTTCCAAAGAAAAGGCACTCTGAAAAAGCGATGACAATGCCCTTAAAGGGCCAATTAGACTCAACCAGGATCCTCCAAAACAAGATCCCCTTGCCCCATGCCATGTCCCTAAGGCTCCCCAAGACTTCATATGAGGCTTCTACTATCATCTAACGCCCATCCCAGAACCCTTTTAGATCCTTCCCACAAATCTGCCTGGTTATTTTTGAACACTTTTGTTCCTTGCTCCTACTTTTGATTCCATCTTTTATTTCTTTGAACACAGTCAACATGGTATCTTGTGTTCAGTATTTTAGAATTCTATCTAAAGCCTGTAGATCCATGGGGCTGTGTGTAGTTTTTGCTAGCCGTGCCTGGTTTCCTGAACAGTTTTATGATTTGGTGACTGCGAACCCAGGCTTACCAGAACTTTAACTGTGGATATTCTCTTGGGCCTGTATCAAGGGTGTGTTTCTCCACAGACCATTTGCATCAGCTTCCAAGGCGAGGCAGCACTGTGCATCTAGGCTCATTTTAAACCGAATTGTGGTTTGGTTGGTTTGGTTTGCTTTCCCTGGGTCTCAGGAGTAATATGAACCCAACCTCAAAACCCCCTGAATGCCTGCTTATGGTTAAATATTTTCAAGGGATTCTTTGCACGCCCCAGTGTCAGGGTTAAGAAGGCAGATTTCCCTGCTAACTCATCTGCAAGTCCCCCCACCCCTTTCTAGGGTCCTAGATTTGGGTGACAGTTTCAACTTTCTGCCCCAAATATAAAACCCTTGAATTGCTTGCTCCCCGCCTCCCGAATACAGCCTTTATAGCCAGGATGCTACGTCACCAGATATCAGCAGCCATCCTCTAGGCAGGCCACCAGCTTCCACACTGGTTTGCCTCTCTGACTGCTTGCTTTCTCTCCAGTTTAAGTTAGCAGGTTCCTCTTACTTTCTTGCCAGATCAGTCATGCAATTAAAATGATTTATAGTGTTTAAATTTTAGACAGCATCTCTATTATTTTGCATTAGATGGGTTTTTAGACTATGTATCCTCCCCCCCCCCCATAATACTATGGGAAATAGCCTGGATTTTCACTGGACGTTAACATTTAATCAGTATTTTCTTGACCCCATCATTTGAGTGGTACATGTTTGCCTCTCCTTGTCATCTGCTGCAATAATCATGACTTTGGAGCATCCACTAACTCACCTCATCCTGAGTTTTCTCTTATTTCCCCTCTCGCTTTCCATTATGCCATGATGCTTCATCGTGAATTTTTCCAACCAGGTCTGCCCTTAGAAGAAAGGTCATTGTATAATAATTGTTTTTATTCTGTAACTTCAAGCAAGATTTTAGAAAATGTAGTTCCTGACAGGTACAATCCAATTCCACAAAGAAAGAGATTAATTACATTCTCGCCAAGACAAGTCCTGTTAAATAGATGATGTAAAACAGTATAGAATTTTATACATTATCTGTCATATGAAACTATCTCATTATGTTGCCAACCATCTCAGGAAATATAACCATCTACCCCCTGAAATTCATTATCTTAAAATTCATCACAAAGGACTTTGAAAAGATCTATTAATAGCCCCTGTATTACATACTAAATATGTTGTTTTTTCTCTGATGCTCAAGGTCTCAGGATCTCTTGGAGCCTCTGGTCCTCATTTGCATCACAAGATAACAAGTCCACCAATACAGGACCTTGTCAGTGTTTAAATCAGAAAGTTTGTAAAAACCTTGGTACAGTGTCTGTCTCTCTCTCTCTCTCTCTCTCTCTCTCTCTCTCTCTCTCTCACACACACACACACACACACACACACACACACACACACTCCCCTCTATATAGTACGTGACTTAGTACCTGATACATAGGCACTAAATAAATATCTGAACAACCGAATTCCCTCCCTACTCCCCTACTTCCCATCTGTGGCAACAGCCACTTCAGCCAAGAACCCGCATTGATTCCAGCCATCCACTTCCAATCTCCATTGTGTGACAGACATATTTTAAATAACACCATGAATCTTATTCTTATTCTTTACGGAGTCCTTAAAATTGGGTTGATTTCCCCCCAACATTTCTGACTGCTCCTCAAACTGCACCATTATGGCTGGTGTCAAAGATCGAGCACAGAATGCAGCGGCCCATCAAGCCCTCCAGCCCCATGGCACCACCTCCCAGGATTGCCCAAGAGCAGTCTAAGCAGCCCAGGAATGTACCTGCCCCTGGAGTGTCCCTTCTCACCTAAATTCACATGACCACACGGATGGAGCTATTCTGCAAGGTGCTTTCACACCACCTGGATTCCATCTTAACTACTGCACATTCCAGGCCTTTCTGGGGAGCAAACTTCCCCAGCACATTATGCCCAGGTTTGTCTCTGAGCTGAATAATCTGTGTTTTCATTTTAAAAAAATACATAATTTAGAAGAGCAGATGGGTTAACACCTGACCTTTGCCCAGCATTTGCGCACACATTCCACAGGTGGATAACCAGCATGGGGACATTAAGGAAATGCCACCTGCCCAGGGGCAAGCCTCGGCTAAGGATGGCTCATCCACTCCAGCAGCAGGAAAGCGCTTGTGATACCTCCCTGCTCCCAGATACCTGTCCTGTTTGTCTCTGCAGGTCACATGTTCTCTTGGGAACTTTGAAGCTAATGAGGCATCTGTCTGTTCCTGACATTGGGGCACATAACACAGAAATAGGCTAAGAAGTGCTTAGGCAGATGGAAAAGTGATGAGACAAGGCAAGAGGGAGAAACCCTGACAGAGTTTAACTTCTCTTATTCTTGGTCATTACCTGAACTTTATTTTTAAACTACAAAGCCTTGAAATTCATGAATAATACAGGAAATCTGTAAAATGCCACTTTTCTGGAATAAGCAGGACATTAAAATGCAAATTGCAGTTCCACACACAGCTGTACTCAGATGTGACAAATTAAGCTCTTCTTATTCCTAGTCTTGACATTTGCCTTCAAGATGTTGTTCAATGTAGACAGAAAGAGCAAGGGAGAAGCAGGCAAGAGGAGTGGCTATAACAGTCCCCAGGAGGCCCCCCATCAGGTGCCCGCAGGGGGTGAGAGGTCACCGTAGGAGCTCTCCTTCTCTTTAGCAGAACACCTGGGGAAAACCACCTTCTGCACTATTGCGTTTTCTCAGGAAGACCTTCTTATAAAAATGGCATTATTTCTTATTAATTTAATTTAATTATTTTCCATCACCACTTATCCCCCCTATATCCTCTTCCACCTCCACCCACCTACCCACCTCCCCTAAAAATGGCATTCTTTAATGCAAAATCTGCGTCTTTAGAATGAGCAGGACAGAAATCTAAAAGAAACTGATTAAATTAGAAAGCTTATGAGTCCCTGTTAGTAGCTCCACACTTTAACCACTCGGCTAGATTCACAAAGTCCATCCTCAAACCTACACTTAGGATTCAACATGTTTATTCAGGAGGAGTGCCTACTATGCACCTGGCACACCTAGGATCCACCAGTAAGTAATGCAGGTGAAGCACCCCACCTTCACTGCCTTTACTGGGCATCTGTGCCAGCAGTTGGGGAGGGGGATACAAAGCCAATATATATACCAGCTGCAGAGCTAAGTGCTTTGCATATTTAGCTCACGTAATCCCCTCTGAGGGAGGTACTATTATTCCTCACATTTTCCAGCACAGAGAGGTTAAGCAATGTAGCTGGTACACTGGCAGTGGACAAGCTGGGATTCCAACCCAGTACTCTGGCTCCAGCATTAACATGTTCACAACTGCATTAGATTGCCTCTCTCTTAAGGCCTCTTCCACTTGATGCCTCACTATTTGTGTACAGCAATGAGGGTACCCTCCCAAGGGCAGGGACCACACCCTGGTTCTCTTCGGAACCCACCACTTACAACCCCTGGGGAGTTTGGTTCATGGGTACTTCATAATATTTATTGAATAAATAATTCACCTTTTTCAAAAAATATATTTTTTTATTGCTTTCAGAGAGGAAGGGAGAGGGAGTGAGAGAGATAGAAACATCAATGATGAGAGTCATTGATCGGCTGCCTCCTGCATGCGCCCTACCAGGGACCTAGCCCGTAACCCAGGCATGTGCCCTTGACCGGAATCAAACCTGGAACCCTTCAGTCCACAGGCCGATGCTCTATCCACTGAGCCAAACCGGCTAGGGCAAGTAATTCACCTTTTATTGCAAAATTACCCTGGGCTGGATCTGCAACAGCAAATATTAGCACCATCTAGTGGATAGAGGCCTGGCACAGGAAAGACTGCCATCAGCCTGTGGTTGACAGCACACAGGCAGCCTGAGATTACAGCAATTACCTGGGTAATTCAGGTGCATGTCTCCACGTACATGCTTTGTCATCGTTCTACAGACCTCTGACACTTGATCTCATAACCGAAGCTAGTCACCTTGTATATAAGTTTGCAGTATTACAAACCTCAAACAGATCAAGCTCCTAGATATTCTTAAGGGATCAACAAAGCAAAATGTTTTAAGCGGAACTCTTCTGGGAAATCCACGATCATGGCCACAAGACAACAGGGAAGATCTCACATTCTTGCAGGGAAGACTACACATGAGTATCTACAAATAACTGCACCCGTCTTGTGAAAGCAGATCACCTGGGCATCAGGAATTGGATTGGGTGCAGACATAAAGCCTGAAAGAAAATGATTGCTCCTGATCTCCACGTCCACATTCTATTACTACGTATTAGCTAACTGTGATATCAGTGTACTAGTATGAGATAGAACTAAAGGCTCTATCTATACTTGTTTAAAGCAAAACAAACTGAGTTAACCTTTTTTTAAAAGACCTTATCAAAAACTAATAGAAAATAAAATAGTTTATTCCAGCTTGGCATTGTCAGTTGCTTTTCTCCTTTGACATCAACATAAAGAGAGAAGAGGTAGATGAAAAATGCAAGGAAACCCAGTAATAGGCCAAAAAGAGTCTACACTTGTAGTCCTTAACATCCTAACCTGGCAAACTCCTATTCATTCTTCAAGACCTTGCTCAGGTGTTGCCTCGACTGTAAAATTCTTCATCCCTGTGCCCCAGCTACTTACTCCCATCACTGAGAGCCTGTAGCACTGGTTAAGTAACTCCATGATATACTGTCATGTTACAATTAGGCACTAACTTATCCTGCTCCTCCAGAGACGCGGGTCTTTCTTATGAAGCTTCTCAGCATAGCTGCCAGCGAAATGGCTACTGAAACAGAAGTAAATAATGATCATTCGGAACAAATACCATTTCCTTCTTCCGAAGCTGTACTTGGTATTGCTAAACAACAAAAAGCTCTTAACAAGCAGCATAAAGACCCAGCAATTCTTACAGCCATTGCTTTGCCTCTTCCTTTTGTGATTTATTTTTTCTATTTGGTCTTCCAAAACTAGTCCTCCCAGGCTATAAAATCAACAATCATTGAAATGTAAAGTCGAAAAAAATAACCAAGGGCTTTGGTTTTCGATGCTATTTCCATCTGTTCTGCCCACGATAAAACTGTCAGGAGGGATGCCCCACATACCGAACATCAGTACATCTGCCTGAACTGAAAAAACATGTGGAAAGGCTCACTGGGAACATCAAACCCACTTTATAAATCCAAGTGCCCAGACAGGATCTGTTTCTTTAAATGCTGTTGGCAAATGTACTGAATGTACTGCTGAAGGTTAATAGATAATTAAGAATCACTGTAGTTCCATGAAAATGATAAATCAGACAGAAAGATCAGCCTTGCATGGCTGCCTAAGATCGGCTACACTTCACAACAAAAAATAAATCACTAGAGAAAGCACAGTACTTGCTAAATGCAACTGTTGTCATAGTGTCATGGTCACAGAGCCAAAATTCAAATTTATGCCACGTAAAAACTGGACAACCTTAAACATGTAACTTAATCTCTGTATGCCTCCATTTTCTTGTCTTTAAAATGGGAATAATAACAGTACAAGCTTGGGTTTATTATGAGCACTTAACAGAGCATCTGGCATATAGTAAATATTTAATAACTATTAACAGTTACTATTCTTTCTCATTTATTGAGTCATTATGTCAAGAAAATATTTAGTACACACACTAGATATTGTGCTGGAGACTTTCACACACATCATCACAATTCCCATCCAGAAAACGAAAGAGTCAGACACAATGAACATTTCTTTTTTTAAAATATTTTTAATTGATTTTTTAGAGAGAGAAGAAGGGAGAGGGACAGAAAGAGAGAAGCACTGATGTGAG